AGCCGTATCGACATGGTCCTGGACAACAGGCTTTAGATGATCCTGCTTGAGCAGGGGGGTCGGACCAGATGACCTCCAGAGATCCCTCCCAACCTCAAACATTCTGTGATTCTGTGAGCATAGCTTGAATATCTATCCAAGTTTAAAAAACAAGCTTGCACAAGCTCATTAAAATATAGGACAAATTAGCTGAAAGCAGAAATTGGGAGCTGAAAATGCAGTGTTTGGATCACCTTCATCCCAGTGTTTTGAAAGAACGGGCACAGGAGATGACAGATTCAGCAGAAAGGATTTTTAATCAATCTATAAACTCAAAAGCAGAAAAAAGCAAACACAGTGTCTATATTTACAAGGAGAAAAAGCAATCAAGAATATGTCAGGTCCATGATTCTGATCAAAAGCCAGCAGGCTACTGAGAATAATTATTCTTTCCTGCAAAATTCAAACACAAAGGAGAAAACAAATGACCGTCAAAGAAGATATCATGTGGGTTCACCAGAAGTAGATTGTGCCAAACTCACTTGTCATCCTTCTTTGACAAGACACATGATTTTTAAAGATAAGGGGAATGCAGGAAGTTTAGATGGACATTTTATACTGTGTCATATGGGTATGGACTTTTGATACTGTGCCGTATCAGTTAAGATGAAAAGGGTGGGAAAGGAACCAAGTATGTTGACGGCAGAGATTACAGTGGTCTGTGCTGAACGAAAAGCTATAAGATCAGAAGGTTACTAACAGAGTTCCTAAAGAATGAGTCTCTGGTCAAAGCTTTTGAATTTTTAAAAGCTTTCATACTTGGTATAATTAAATTTATACCAAAAAGCAACCTACTGACATTTGCCAATAACACCAAGTAAGACCATATATGCAGAAAAGGATTGAGACATCGTACAAAAAGAAATGGATGACCTTAAGTGGGTACTGATAATAGCATGTAATTTAGCAACAGACAACAGCAAGACCTTACACAGAGGAACCAATAAAAACAAACTCTCCAATAATGTGGAGCTGTTGATAAAATCAAGGACACACGAGTGGTTAACCTATCTTATCGTAACTGAGTCAAACAGTATGAAGACTCGAAAATGTTTTTTGTAGGCAAGAAACAAAGTCTTCTCAGAAGCAAAGAGCAAAAATAGTAGTATAAGAGGCCAGCAAGAATCCTGAATACCATGCTGCAAGTTCAGGTAAAGAAAGATGAACTGAATAGGTGTGTAAAACACCAAAAAACCCCAAACAAACAAAAAAAAAAAAAAACCAAACGAAAAAGGAAGAACAGAGAAATCTGTTTTGTGACAGGAAGCTAAAATATATTGTTTTATATATATTTATATATATATATATATATATGTTTTGTTGCCTAACAAAATCCTCAGCCAGAACAAGCCTGCTTTCTATAAATACACAAGGAGAGGTAAATTCTTTCCCTGTACACAGCACTGGTGAGGCTGCATTTCAAATCCTGTGTTCTGTTTTGGGCCCTTCACTACAAGAAAGACACTGAGGTGCTGGAGCAAGTCCAGAGAAGGGACATGGAGCTGTGGAAGGGTCTGTAGCACAAGTCTGATGAAGAGCAGCTGAGGAAGATGGGGTTGTTTACCTGGACAAAAGGAGGTTCAGGGGAGACCTTATCACTCTCTACAATTACCTGAAAAGAGGTTGTAGCCAGGTGAGGGTTGGTCTCTTTTCCCAGGCAGCCAGTGACAGGTTAGTAGGAAATGGCCTCATGCTGCACCAGGGGAGGTTCATGTTGGATATCTGGAAGGACTTCTTTAGGGAAAGGGTTGTTAAGCATTGGAACGAGCTGCCCAGGGAGGTGGTGGAGTCACCATCCCTGGAGGTGTTCAAGAAAAGATTAGATGTGGCACTTAGTGACAAGGTGGTGATCAATCAAAACCTGGACTTGATGATCTCAGAGGTCTTTTCCAATCTAAATGATTCTCTGATTTTGTAAATTCTAGAGCAATATAAGAACTATATAAAATAATGGAAATTATTAGCAGGAGCACAAGTAGGTATGAAGTGGCCATGAATAAATTTTCAGTCAGAAATCAGAAGGCAGTTAGATATGATCAAAGCAACCACGTTCTGACACAGTCCCCCCCACTGGCACAACAATGGAGAAATTTAGCTAGTTTGAACAAGAAGTTTCTTTAGTTTATACATCAAAAAAAAAAAAGAAAAAGAAAACAAGGAGGAGATTTCATTGTCCAAAAAAAAACAATAAAAAAACCTAACACAATTCCAGTCTCATATAAATACACAAAACACTGCAATTTTCCAGAGGACTCCAAAGTACACTGTAACTGCAGCATTCTGGTCTTCTAGCCCAGTCTGTAAAAAAACTCATCTCAAGCAACTTAACATCAAATTTCCTATCTCATTATCTCCCTTAATAAATTAAGACAGACACTAATAAAGTACACCATGAATTGTTCCTCCACTGTTTAGTACAATTTGCTCTACAGTGCCACAATTTTTAATTTGACATGCTGCTGGCAAACAAGCCTGGGCCAAGTATATCAGGGGCACCTCTGTGTTTCTTGGGTTTCTGTTCCTCCCCCCAGTATTTGTAGCATTTAATTAAAAGAGCAACTGGTTGTAACAAACGCAAGAACTGAAGTGCTGGGACTCTGCAGTCAGTGAATGAAAATCACTGGTTGCTGCTGGAGTTAATTTATAAACTGGATAGAGAATGGCAGCACTTAGTGGATAAAGTAAATGCCCATCATTCATTATTGTTCAATCACAATGATCTGCACCGGCGCTTGAACTGGATGGAAAACACTACTCTCCTGGGGCAGCAACGCTGTGTTTGTGCTTCCCTTCCTTTAGAGTTAAATTAATGTAAAAGATACTTTGGTAGTAAGAAAAATGATCGGTCCTTGGAAGCTCATAAAGATCTATCAACAGGCCATCATCTGTTTGATGCTGCAAAATCTGTAATGCAGACAGCTGCTGTTGATGTATTCAGGGCCAGCTGGATAGCGCTGTGACCTGAAAAACGTGCAGAAAATAACACTGGGCATAACCATGAGGTGAAACAGGTGAAGCATATTCCATTTGCTTTGCTTCTCTCTCCTACCCATTCTGTTGGGTATGAAAAGCATGAAGGACCATTTCTTTCCTGATCACGCATTTGTTAGCACACCACTCCTCCTTACAACATTGATTGAGATCTGAACTCATGGGGGCTCCAAATGCACAGGGAAAACAGCCGTTCACAGCAAATGAGGCCTAAATGCTGGAGGCCTCTTTGCAACAGTGACTCCTGAAAAACAACATGGGAAAAGACCTGCTAAGCTGCAGAGAAAGTGTAGCTGCTTACCAGAAACCATAAATAATTAAGAGGGAGAGTTCGGGGCCCAAGAAAAAGATTTTTAAAAGTAATTAAAAAAATAAATCCATTGCAGCAATAACTTTTCGGTTCCTTGCCAACTTCCATCTCTAGCTCACCTGCGCAAAGTATGTTCATAATTCTCTGTGGAGCCTTCATTTTAGAGTAGCATGAACCCTGCTGAGCAGTTCTGAAGATAATTTTTGTGTGTTCCATGGTGCCCATTATTGTCGGCCGGTAGCTCACCCAGTTCTGCACTCCAAGCAATCAACCAACCCAAACAACACGCATTTGTCCTACCCTTGCTTATCTGATGCTGTACCATAATGTAGGACAGGTCTGTTATTGTCACTCAGTACACCTATAAAGCATGCATTTACATACGCACACACACACTTGACACAGTAAATGAATAAATACTAGCGACAGAAATCTGTTCCCAAAACACACAGACAATAGTGAAGGGCATATGCAGGGGGATCTTTTACTCTCGACAGCAGAACTTTTTCAAACAAAATGGTAATTGCTGCAGGAACTGAAGAACTGTGTAAATGTAAAACAAGTATTACTGTTACTGAAGAAGGAAATTAGGAGCACAGGCATTACCTGTGAAATAAATTCTCACCATGGATTTATTGTATTAAAGGAAGTGATTTAACATAGCAGCAATATAAACAACAGATCTTATTGTTAGGATTTAAGATTGGTTGTGGCTGAACACAAAACTTTGTGGTACAGACCAAAGACATGTAGTGCTTACACACCTGAGAAAAAGTAATTCCTTATATAAGGAGTGTTTTGCATCCTGACCAAAGGAGAAGCCCTAATACTACTATAATAATTATTCATTTTAAAGGTAGCATTTCTTTATAACCACTTTCTCTATACACCTGCAAAATCACCTGTCCCCTCCATGAAGATAGTTACATTTACCTGCTGCAAACGGACTCGACTTTGTTACCAAACGGCAACAGCGGATATATTCAGCCACGGTTTCAAATAAGGCCAAGACGACATTGCACACCCATCATCTAACAAGACGCGATATAACTGTATACGTTTTATGCAAATCCCTTAATAGCACAAACATTAGAGAGACAAGACAGTTCCAGTGTCCACTGCACAATTGTGTGCTGAAAGGCACCTTTTATGTGAGTGACACCGATTTAGAAGCAGAATTTTTTTCCTATTCGCTACCTCTGCCCTGACCCCACAGCTCAGCTCGGCCGGCCGGGAGGCCCTCCTGGGTCCGAGCGGTGCCCACGGGCGGCTCTGAGGGACCCCGCGCAGACACGGCCCTCCCGACAGGTCTTCCCGCGGCCGCCCGACGGCGGGGCCGGGCAGCGCGGCACGGCCGCACAAAGGACCGCCCGGCCCCGCAAGCTAAGCCGTCGCGCCCTCGCCTAGCGGCGGGCGCGGCGCCGCGCCCCGGGCTGCTCCGGGGCCGGGGCACGCCGAGCACCGCCCCGACCCGCCGCTTCCCGCCGGTCCCGCCCGCCGCCGCCCGCTCGCGGCAGGCGCTGCCCTGGGCCGGGCCCGCGCCCGCCTCAGGCCCGCGGCCACTCCGACCCGCCCGGCGCACGCCGCCCCCGCGGGCCGCGGCGCAACGAGGGGCGGAGAGACCCGGGCCCAGGCCCGCGCCGGGTCGCCCCGCGCCCACCTCAAACACCACTTCTTCGTCGAACTCCGGGTGTCATCCTTGCCCGCCATTGCCACCCCCTCCCGCGGGCACGCTGGGAAACGAGTCCGCCGCTCCGTTCAGCCGCCCCGCCCTGCCGAGAGCTGCCTGGCGCAGAGGGAACTACAGCTCCCAGAGGCACGGCGGGAGCCGCCTGCGGCGGTGCTTGATTTGGTGGGCGGGCGGGGCGCGGCCCGGCAGGGGCCGCCGCTGGGGCGGTGGTGGCGGCGCTGCTGGCGCTGGGCTGAGCCGGAGCCGCGGGGCGGGATGATGCAGCGGGCACAGCGAAGGGGAGCTGCTCCTGCTGCGGCTCCGGCTGGGTGGCGGCGCGGGGAACAATGGGCTCCTTTCTCGGCCCTCAGAGGGGCCGTAGCGTAAGGGACGAAAGGGAGCGCGGCGCGGCGCCTGGGGAGCACCATGAGCTCCGCTGGTGAGTGTCCGGGGAAACTCCGGAGAGCGGTGGTTCCCGCCCGGCCGGCGGCGGGTCCGTGTCTCCCTGCCCGCGGAAGCGTCGCGTCGCTCGCCCCGCGGCAGCGGGAACGGGACGGGATGGGGGGATGAAAGGGTTGCGCCACGGGACAGGAGCCGGAGGCCGCCGGCGTTCCCTGTCCCGGCAGCGCCGGGCGTCTGCGCCCCCGGCTCGCTCTGGGGGAGGCGGGTGAGAGAGCGAAGGAGAGCTGGGGGGCGAACCCTCCACCCGGCTCCGGCGGGGGGGAAGCCCTTCCCGGCCGGGGGACAGCCCTTCCCGGGGATCAGCCCGCAGCCCTCGGCACGTCCTGCCGCGGCGGCCGGGGCTGTGCGGGGCTGAGCCGGGCGCTCCGCTCTCCGCCCCGCGTGTGCGGAGCGGGCACCCCGCGTGGCGGCTTGGGCTGGCGGCGGGGGAGCCTGGTGGGGGCCGGGTGTTCCGGCAGGAGAGCCAGCACCGGGGCTAGGACTGTCGCTCCGTCTGACTCCGCGGAGCTGCAAAAGTTTGTCAGCTGCAGCTTTGCTTCGGGGATGTACCTGCCTTGGCCGGGCTCTTGCGAGCTGGAGCCCCACGGGGGTACGGGAATGCGTTCGCTTCTGGCCTTTCCAGCTGCTGGTTGGAACTGACCTGATTCAGTGCTTTCCTTACCTTTCCTCCCCCGTTTCTTGACCGCTGCCAATTTAATGACTAAAAGAGCTTCGAGGCAAATTCTTGGTTTAAAACAAGAGCTCCCCGTGTTTAAGGGAATTTTATTTGCCTGCACGGTAGTGTGCTGTTAGTACTTCTATTCATCTATATGTTAGATTAATAGATTCCTTTCTTATCTGCTTGAAGACGAGAATAAGAGTAGTTTCTGCATGGAAAATATGTGGTGTAAATTATGATGTACTGGGTGGAAACACAACTAATTGCAGGGTAAACCTGAAGAAAAAAAAAAACTAAAGAAAACGCAATAAACAGACATCAGGCAGACACATCAACCTGGTTCTCAATGTTTACCTCTCAAGTATGTCAAATTGTTATTGTCTCCAACGTTAATTAAGTTATCTGGGCTCTCGTAATTATTCAGAATTTACTGGAAAATGAAAAGCGATTTAATGCATCTTTCCGCTTCACTTAGGATATATTCCCATTTTTAATATATAGGACAGATTTTGTTTAGATTTCAAAAAGCATGTAATAAAGCAGGATATCTCTACTTAACTGCTGCACTGTAGGTTCCCGTTGTTTGGTAATGCCGCTGGTAGTGCAGCTCACCCTTGGTCTTTTAAGAGTTAAACAGCTGTGCAAATAAAAGATAAGTGTTAGGGGGTGCTCAAGAGCTTAGAGCTGGGCTGTTAAAATTTGATACGGTAATAAGTTTCAGAAAGTCGGGCAGATTTTCAAGCACCAAACTGATCTCAGGACTTCTAGAGTTTAGCTAGCGTGACCGAGTTTCTCTGTTTTGGTGTATGTTGTGGTGGTGTTTGTGGAGAACGTGAGGAGAAAGGGGTTTTGTTGAGCAAAGTCTCTTAGAAAGCAAAAGAGAAAGGGATGCTGAGGAATATCAGTAAGAAGAAAGTGGAACAATATCATGAAAAGTGTGAATTTTAGCTAGGAATTTGAAGGGGAAGGCATAAAGAGAATCCTAGTGGGTGGGAAGAAGAGGAATATTGAAGGGGGATGAAGGGCCGAGTATTGAAGGTGGGGTGGAGAGTATTTTGTGCGTGTGATGGATTATGTGAAGATGAAAAAACAAATGGGGAACAGGTGAAACGAGATCTGAGATTCACGATCCTGCTGATAGTATCGTGACAGCTTTTGACATTTCAGTAAAGAAGCTCATAGGTATGAGCAGGGTGTGAAAAGGCTGAGGACTGACAGAAGATTGTTCTGAAGGTTTAGTTCCCCTCTCTTGGTATTGCTGCAGAACTTAGTGCCTGAAATATATAGACATGCTTTATAAAGCTATCGCTCACAAAAAATCTTACCAACTCCTGTATTTTAATTTCTGTCCTGTGATCTATAGGATCTATTTCCTATATTGAAATTATTTAATTGTGAATTCACTTGTTACTGTGGTTTGAGCTGCATAAACCAAACACTGCTTCTGTCCATGGACAGAAGTTGCAGAAGGCCTGAGATTGATAACGCAGCCTTAACCTCACTCCAGCTTACCTTTTGCCTTTCTAAATAATGCAGTGCACATTCAGTTTCTTGCTGTGTATCTTTTCTATTTCCTCTACAAATTTGTTTCAGATCTCACTCCAGAGCTGGATGTAATTCAGTGATAGGTGGAGGAATACTGCCACAGCTGTTGCTTACATGTTTTAAAATGTGTATATAAATCTGGACTTGTTGGAACTAAGGAAATATAGCTCTTATTTCAAATACTTTTACATAAAGATTATTTTATTGTAGTGATCAACCTGTATATTGGTTTCAGTCTTCATTTATAGCTATTCTTCTGTCATTGCTTTCTCGTGTCCTGCATATTCTGTATGTCAATGAATTCTACAATTGACATATTCTATATGTCGATATTCTACGATGTCAGTGAATGTACATTTACTCATTTTCTGCCTGAAACTATTATGCTGTCTTCAAGTATGTTCTTTGCCTTTAAAAGGAAAAAAACAAAAGCTCAGAGTTATGAGTTTGACATTTATTATTTCTTGCTGAAGAAACAGTCCTTATATGTGATCTGTACAGCTTATTTAATGTGGGCAGAATGTATAGCTTAGGCTTGAAATTGGATTTGACAACAACAATGAGAAAAATGTAGTGTATGTTAATGTCAGAAATGTAGTTCAAATGGAAAAAACATAGCAAGAACAGAATAAACAAAATCAACATGACTTTTCCAATCGAACTTCATTGCTTTCAAGGATTGAAAAAAATGAGGCCTCCAGGGTTTAATGTCCCTTTAACCCTCAAATATGTCAAGTCCTGTTAGAGTTACTCAACTCTGTCTCCACAGAGATCTGGAAAGGTTGTTTATTCATCTCTTGTCCTTACTCTAAAGTTATCCCTGACTTTCTTGTTCTATTTCAATAAGTCAGTGAACAATCTGAGATTTTGAAATTGATGTTTTCCTTTTGCAGTTTATTTAGGATGTTTTCTACAGCTGTAGTGGCTTAGAAACAGTAGTTTTCCCTTGTATTTTACAAACTACATGTGTTATCTTCCAGGATGTCATGACTCATTCCTTTTTTTTTGTTTTTTGAGCATTATGGCACCTGAGAAAATCAGACCCTCTCTATAATGAAAAAATAAATATACATTTGCAGGAAATAAATTAATGATCTCACAATGCTTTCTGAGGTGTTTACCTAATGAAACTTTCTTTCTATATCTGAAAGCAAAGTAATTAAACTGAAAAGCCTTGTAACAAGTCATTAACATTCAGGCTGCTGGAGAACAGGAGTTTTAAAATACTGTTTCTCTGTGCAGTGCATTAAATGCTATTGCAATAATGTCTCGGTGTACCCCAAACATATAGCAGTAATTACCTCTCCTCCTACGTGCTCTTTAGAAGCCAGATTGGCATTCTTGTCTGTGAGTTGTAGTGTTTTATGCCAGTAGTCTCAGGGTCAGTAAGTTGGTTGTTGGAGCAAGCTCTTCCTTCATGTAAGAAAAAAACCAACACATCGATTCCTTGGCGCGTTACCTTCTGGGCATTGTATTATTTTCATATGTAGCCTACAGATGTGATGTCCTATCTCTGAGAATACAGTATGGATATGTAAACAAGGTGCCATGAGAAAGCCAATACCTACATTTGCCTTAGGCCAGCTGCTGAGCAGTAACTGTTTCAAGCCCTTTTCCTAGCACCTGTGCAATAGATATGTGAAGTAGTACGTGAGATAGATGTCACGTTGTAGGTCAAAAGGAATAAAGTGCCTTATTTACTGTGTGGTAAGATAAGAGCATACATATGGCCACCTTCTATAAAGTAGCTGATTTCTTAAACTCACACCTTTCCTTACCCCAGAGTAACTTGTACCTGTACCTTAAGCTTAGGTTCAGCTGCTGTCAAAATCTGGTGTCATGCTGATTCGTTGTTTTACTGCTTTTCTACTGTTTCGTGATTCAGAAAGGATATTGCCTTGGGATGGGTTGCAGGATCATGCCTGGTGTACCTCTTGGGTGACTCAAGATAATCCCATAGGGCACCCTATGAATACCTGAATACCAGGAGAGGGGCCACTATTCCCCTGGAGCATTGCAAGGAAAGGAATATTAAGTTATGTTATCATGACAGTGTCCAGAACCACTTGTCCCTGTTTCTTGGACAGATGCAAGTGAACATGACTTGTTCTTGCTCTTTTATTATTCCCAAGTATAGATTTTGTTAACATAATCTCAAAAGTATGGGCATAAATATAACATGGGAAAAATATTCCTTTAGCAACAGTAGGGTTTATTTTAAAAGAGATAGTGCTATTTGATTTTTTTTGCCTCAGTTCAACTTCATATATCATCTTTACTCCCTATTCTGTGCTGAGCAGGCAAGATAAAAAGAGGTAAAAATTTGAGGTGAAGAATTTAAAGCTGTGCAATAATAATGCTTAAGATTGTACTGTCTTATTGGCTTTCCTGGTTGTTCACGATAGTGCATAAGAGAAGACACATGAACGTTTTTGTTT